CGTATGTTCAACCCACCGTGTGTTCAACCCACCGTGTGTTCAACCCACCGTGTGTTCAACCCACCGTGTGTTCAACCCACCGTGTGATCTACCCACCGTGTGATCAACCCACCGTGTGATCAATCCACCGTGTGATCAACCCACCGTATGTTAAACCCACCATGTGTTCAACCCACCGTGTGTTCCACCCACCGTGTGTTCAACCCACCGTGTGATCAACCCACCGTGTGTTCAACCCACCGTGTGTTCCATCCACGGTGTGATCAACCCACCGTGTGTTCAACCCACCATGTGTTCAATCCACCGTGTGTTCCACCCACCGTGTGTTCAACACACCGTGTGTTGAACCCACCGTGTGCTCAACCTACCGTGTGTTCATCCCACCGTGTGTTCAACCCACCGTGTGTTCAACCCACCGTATGTTCAACCCACCACGTGTTCAACCCACCATGTGTTCCACCGACCGTGTGTTGAACCCACCGTGTGTTCAACCCACCGTGTGTTCAACTCACCGTGTGTTCAACCCACCGTGCGTTCAACCTATCGTGTGTTCAGCCCACCGTGTGTTCAACCCACCGTGTCTTCAACGCACCGTGTGTTCAACCCACCGTGTGTTCAACCCACCGTGTGTTCAACCCACCGTGTGTTCAACCCACCGTGTGTTCAACGCACCGTGTGTTCACCCCACCGTGTGTTCAACCCACCGTGTGTTCCACCCACCGTATGATTCAACCCACCGTGTCTTCAACCCACCGTGTGATCAACCCACCGTGTGATCAACCCACCGTGTGATCAACCCACCGTGTGATCAACCCACCGTATGTTCAACCCACCATGTGTTCAACCCACCGTGTGTTCCACCCACCGTGTGTTTAACCCACTGTGTGATCAACCCACCGTGTGTTCAACCCACCGTGTGTTCCACCCACGGTGTGATCAACCCACCGTGTGTTCAACCCACCATGTGTTCAACCCACTGTGTGTTCCACCCACCGTGTGTTCAACGCACCGTGTGTTCAACCCACCGTGTGCTCAACCTATCGTGTGTTCAACCCACCGTGTGCTCAACCTATCGTGTGTTCAACCCACCGTGTGTTCCACCCACCGTGTGATCAACCCACCGTATGTTCAACCCACCACGTGTTCAACCCACCATGTGTTCCACCCACCGTGTGTTCAACCCACCATGTGTTCAACCCACTGTGTGTTCCACCCACCGTGTGCTCAACCTATCGTGTGTTCAACCCACCGAGTGCTCAACCTATCGTGTGTTCAACCCACCGTGTGCTCAACCTATCGTGTGTTCAACCCACCGTGTGTTCCACCCACGGTGTGATCAACCCACCGTGTGTTCAACCCAACATGTGTTCAATCCACCGTGTGTTCCACCCACCGTGTGTTCAACACACCGTGTGTTGAACCCACCGTGTGCTCAACCTATCGTGTGTTCATCCCACCGTGTGTTCAACCCACCGTGTGTTCCACCCAATGTGTGATCAACCCACCGTATGTTCAACCCACCACGTGTTCAACCCACCATGTGTTCCACCCACCGTGTGTTGAACCCACCGTGTGTTCAACCCACCATGTGTTCAACCCACCGTGTGTTCAACCCACCGTGTGTTCAACCTATCATGTGTTCAACCCACCGTGTGTTCAACCCACCGTGTGTTCAACGCACCGTGTGTTCAACCCACCGTGTGTTCAACCCACCGTGTGTTCAACCCACCGTGTGTTCAACCCACCGTGTGCTCAACGCACCGTGTGTTCACCCCACCGTGTATTCAACCCACCGTGTCTTCAACCCACCGTGTGATCAACCCACCGTGTGATCAACCCACCGTTTGTTCAACCCACCATGTGTTCAACCCACCGTGTGTTCCACCCACCGTGTGTTTAACCCACTGTGTGATCAACCCACCGTGTGTTCAACCCACCATGTGTTCAACCCACCGTGTGTTCAACCCACCGTGTGTTCAACCCACCGTGTGTTCAACCCACCGTGTGTTCAACCCACCGTGTGATCTACCCACCGTGTGATCAACCCACCGTGTGATCAACCCACCGTGTGTTCCACCCACCGTGTGTTAAACCCACCGTGTGATAAACCCACCGTGTGTTCAACCCACCTTGTGTCCAACTCATCGTGTGTTCAACCCACCTTGTGTTCAACCCACCGTGTGTTCAACCCACCATGTGTTCCACCCACCGTATGATCAACCCACCTTTTGTTCAACCCACCGTGTGTTCAACCCACCGTGTGTTCCATCCACTGTGTCTTCAACGCATCATGTGTTGAACCCACTGTGTGTTGATCCCACCGTGTTTTGAACCCACTATGTGTTCAACCCACCGTGTGTTCCACCCGCCGAATGTTCAATGCACCGTGTGTTTAACCCACCGTGTCTTAAACCTACCGTGTGTTCAACCCACGGTGTGTTCAACCCACCGTGTGTTCAACCCACCGTGTGTTCAACCTATCGTGTGTTCAACCCACCGTGTGTTCAACCCACCGTGTGTTCCACCCACCATGTGATCAACCCACCGTGTGTTCAACCCACCTTGTGTTCAACCCACCGTGTGTTCAACGCACCGTGTGTTCAACCCACCGTGTGTTCAACGCACCGTGTGTTCAACCCACCGTGTGTTCAACCCACCGTGTGTTCAACCCACCATGTGTTCAACCCACCGTATGTTCAACCCACCGTGTGTTCAACCCACCGTGTGTTCAACCCACCGTGTGTTCAACCCACCGTGTGTTCAACCCACCGTGTGATCTACCCACCGTGGGATCAACCCACCGTGTGTTCCACCCACGGTGTGATCAACCCACCGTGTGTTCAACCCAACATGTGTTCAATCCACCGTGTGTTCCACCCACCGTGTGTTCAACACACCGTGTGTTGAACCCACTGTGTGCTCAACCTATCGTGTGTTCATCCCACCGTGTGTTCAACCCACCGTGTGTTCCACCCAATGTGTGATCAACCCACCGTATGTTCAACCCACCACGTGTTCAACCCACCATGTGTTCCACCCACCGTGTGTTCAACCCACCGTGTGTTCAACCCACCGTGTGTTCAACCCACCGTGTGTTCAACCTATCGTGTATTCAACCCACCGTGTGTTCAACCCACCGTGTGTTCAACGCACCGTGTGTTCAACCCACCGTGTGTTCAACCCACCGTGTGTTCAACCCACCGTGTATTCAACCCACCGTGTGTTCAACGCACGGTGTGTTCACCCCACCGTGTGTTCAACCCACCGTGTGTTCAACCCACCGCGTATTCAACCCACCGTGTCTTCAACCCACCGTGTGATCAACCCACCATGTGATCAACCCACCGTATGTTCAACCCACCATGTGTTCAACCCACCGTGTGTTCCACCCACCGTGTGTTTAACCCACTGTGTGATCAACCCACCGTGTGTTCAACCCACCGTGTGTTCCACCCATGGTGTGATCAACCCACCGTGTGTTCAACCCACCATGTGTTCAACCCACTGTGTGTTCCACCCACCGTGTGTTCAACGCACCGTGTGTTCAACCCACCGTGTGCTCAACCTATCGTGTGTTCAACCCACCGTGTGCTCAACCTATCGTGTGTTCAACCCACCGTGTGTTCGACCCACCGTGTGATCAACCCACCGTATGTTCAACCCACCATGTGTTCAACCCACCGTGTGTTCCACCCACTGTGTGTTGAACCCACCGTGTGTTCAACCCACCGTGTGTTCAACCCACCGTGTGTTCAACCCACCGTGTGTTCAACCCACCATGTGTTCAATCCACCGTGTGTTCAACGCACCGTGTGTCAACCAACCGTATGTTCAACCCACCGTGTGTTCAACCCACCGTGTCTTCAACCCACCGTGTCTTCAACCCACCGTGTGTTCAACCTACCGTGTGTTCAACCCACCTTGTGTTCTACCCACCTTGTGTTCTACTCATCGTGTGTTCAACCCACCTTGTGTTCAACCCACCGTGTGTTCAACCCACCATGTGTTCCACCCACCGTATGATCAACCCACCTTTTGTTCAACCCACCGTGTGTTCAACCCACCGTGTGTTCCACCCACCGTGTCTTCAACGCATCATGTGTTGAACCCACTGTGTGTTGATCCCACCGTGTTTTGAACCCACTGTGTGTTCAACCCACCGTGTGTTCCACCCACCGTGTGTTCAACCCACCGTGTGTTCAACCCACCGTGTGTTCAACCCACCGTGTGTTCAACCCACCGTTTGATCTACCCACCGTGTGATCAACCCACCGTGTGATCAACCCACCGTGTGATCAACACACCGTATGTTCAACCCACCATGTATTCAACCCACCGTGTGTTCCACCCACCGTGTGTTCAACCCACCGTGTGATCAACCCACCGTGTGTTCAACCCACCATGTGTTCCTCCCACGGTGTGATCAACCCACCGTGTGTTCAACCCACCATGTGTTCAATCCACCGTGTGTTCCACCCACCGTGTGTTCAACACACCGTGTGTTGAAACCACCGTGTGCTCAATCTATCGTGTGTTCATTTCCACCGTGTGTTCAACCCACCGTATGTTCAACCCACCATGTGTTCAACCCACCATGTGTTCCACCCACCGTGTGTTGAACCCACCGTGTGTTCAACCCACCATGTGTTCCACCCACCGTATGATCAACCCACCTTTTGTTCAACCCACCGTGTGTTCAACCCACCGTGTGTTCCATCCACCGTGTCTTCAACGCATCATGTGTTGAACCCACTGTGTGTTGATCCCACCGTGTTTTGAACCCACTGTGTGTTCAACCCACCGTGTGTTCCACCCACTGAATGTTCAATGCACCGTGTGTTCAACCCACCGTGTCTTAAACCTACCGTGTGTTCAACCCACGTTGTGTTCAACCCACCGTGTGTTCAACCCACCGTGTGTTCAACCTATCGTGTGTTCAACCCAGCGTGTGTTCAACCCACCGTGTGTTCCACCCACCATCTGATCAACCCACCGTGTGTTCAACCCACCTTGTGTTCAACCCACCGTGTGTTCAACGCACCAGAGACAAGGACACGGGAAACCATGCCCCGAAGACGGGGCAAGGAGGGGTGGCCTAGACGGTGGTGCCACAGGAGAGTCTCGTGAGACAGGAGGCGACACGAACAGGGGGCAGACTCAGGACCAGACCTGGACGCAGCAGCAAACACCTGACCCGACGCTGCTACCTGACCGGACGCGGGGACAGGAGGAGACTCAGTGGTCAGGGTGTAGAGGCTCGACCCCGGCCGACGCGAGAACGTGGCCAGGTGCCGGCCTGTGCGTGCGTCCGTGCAGTGGGTCACCCGCTGACTCGCAGGAGTGAACTGGTGAACCCCCGCATCCTGTAGGTCTGCACCACTCACCAAGTTCGTCGAGAACGAGGGGAGGTACAGGCGAGACAGGGTGCCCGAGGGGGCAGCCGGACACGGGAGGACAGTGGAAAAGTGAGCGAGGACAGGACCCCCAGAGGGGTCAGCCAGGGAGACTGCAACCGGCCGACCAAGCGGCGTGAGTGTGGTGCGGTCCCGAAAGAAGGAGCGAGAAGCCCCAGAGTCAAGTGTAAAGGAGAGGGAGGCCGAAGCCAACGCGGTACCTGAGAGCGCAGCCTCACCCGCACCTGAGGAAGCAGACTCACTAGCACCTAGAGCAGCAGCCGCACCTGTACCTGGAGCAGGAGACGCACTAGCACCTAGAGCAGCAGCCTCACCAGTAGCTAGAGCAGCAGGTCCTATACCTGGGTCAGGCGGGACGCACAGGGGACCGGCACGGTCACCACTAGTAGGCAATGCATACATGGCAGTGAGAATAGCATCATAGTCAAGAGCATATATATCTACCCTCTGCCTAAGCAACTCCACCCAGTCGGGAAGCTCAGCCTCGTCGCCAAACACGGTACGCCAGGCGTCGCTCAGACGGGCGAAGCAGCGGGACTGTGTATGACTAGGTGTCCCACACGGCTGACCTGTCCGAGTACCAGTGCGAATCACGTAAGAGCAGCGAACAGCACTGAGAGACCCTCTACTCTGAGCGTACCACTCACGAAGCTGGCGAGGCGTGAGGGACACGCGAGAGGGTCGCGGGAGCTGCATCTGGCCGCCACCACGAGTAGAAGCAGCAGGAGTGGTAGTAGGAGTAGCTCCGCCACCCCTACAGCCCCAACCAGCGTACCACTCACGCAGCTGCTGGGGCGTGAGGGACTCACGCAGGCGTCGCTGGGGCTGCATCTGGCTCCGCAAGTAGAAGCAGAAGCAGGACTAGCAGCAGGAAGGCAGGCAGCCAGGCAAGCCAAAAGGCAGGCAGGCAGGCAAGCAGGCGACGCGCAGCGTGCTAGCAGGGCAAGAGCTCACCAGTGGTGGGAAGAGTAGGCTCGGCGACTCGGGCGGCTCGGCAGCTCGGCGGCTCGGCGGCTCGGGCGACTCGGGCGGCTCGGCGGCAAGGCGGCTCAGCAGCAACTGCAGCTCAGCAGCTCGGCGACTCGGTGGCAGTGCGGCTCGGCAGCAACTGCAGCTCAGCAGCTCAGCGACCCGGCGGCTCGGCGGCAGGGCGGCTCGGCTGCTGGGCGGCTAGGGCGCAGGGCGGCTCGGCGGTGGGGCGGCTCGGCTGCTGCAGGTGAGCGGCTCGGCAGCTGCAGTGGGAGATGAAGGAGGAGGAGAAGCAGGGGAGGCCACACACCTGTCACCCCTCGGCTGGCCTCTCCCGTCGCCTGTCGAGGCGACCTCTAGCGGCCCCCTCAGGTCGCCTCGACAGGCGACGGGAAAAGGGGGGGGGGGGGGGGGGGTTGGTGGGGGCCGGTAGGTGCAGCGGCGGGGCCAGCAGGTGCAGTTGCGGGGCCGGTAGAAGGGGACGGCAGGAGCCGTCAGGAGGCGACCGGGCCGCGACTCGGCTGCTGGGCCGGGATGGGGCGGGGCCGCGACGGGGCGGCGGGGCCGCGACGGGGCGACCGGACCGCGACGGGGCGGCTGGGCCGGGACGGGGCGGGGCCGCGACGGGGCTGGCTGGGCCGCGACGGGGCAGGGGCCGCAAAGGGGGGGGCGGGGCCGCGTCAGGGTGGGGCCGCGTCAGGGTGGGGCCGCAACGGGGCTGGGCCGCGACGGGGCGGCTGGGCAGCGACGGGGCTGGGCCGCGACAGGGCGGCTGGGCCGCGACGGGGCTGGGCCGCGACGGGGCGGGGCCGCGACGGGGCGGAGCCGCGAAGGGGCGGGTGGGCCGTGACGGGGCGGGGCCGCGACGGGGCTGGCTGGGCCGCGACGGGGCAGAGGCCGCAAAGGGGCGGGGCCGCGTCAGGGTGGGGCCGCAACGGGGCGGGGCCACTAGAGGGCGGGGCCGCTGCAGGGCGGGGCCGCTAAAGGGCGGGGCCGCTCGAAAGGTGGGCGGCGGGGCCGCTAGTAAGGGCGGCGGAGCCGCGAGAGGAAGGGCGACTCGGAGAGTCGCTGAAAAAAAAATGCGCGCCTCGGGGCGCGCTTCGGTGGGCCCTAGAAAAAACGGTCCTTAGGAAGGACCCGCTCTATACCATGTGAAAGTAAGAGAACAGGAATGAATTGACTAAGCCAGAGCTGGGTACAAATACAACCCTAGAAAGCTGTACCCCATATGTGCTACCCCACTATAGCCTACAAACATGCATCAGCTATAGTAATCTGACACAACCCACCGTGTGTTCCATCCACCGTGTCTTCAACGCATCATGTGTTGAACCCACTGTGTGTTGATCCCACCGTGTTTTGAACCCACTGTGTGTTCAACCCACCGTGTGTTCCACCCACCGAATGTTCAATGCACCGTGTGTTCAACCCACCGTGTCTTAAACCTACCGTGTGTTCAACCCACGGTGTGTTCAACCCACCGTGTGTTCAACGCACCGTGTGTTCAACCCACCGTGTGTTCAACGCACCGTGTATTCAACCCACCGTGTGTTCAACCCACCGTGTGTTCAACCCACCATGTGTTCAACCCACCGTGTGTTCAACCCACCATGTGTTCAACCCACCATGTGTTCAACCCACCGTGTGTTCAACCCACCGTGTGTTCAACCCACCGTGTGATCTACCCACCGTGTAATCAACCCACCGTGTGATCAACCCACCGTGTGATCAACCCACCGTATGTTCAACCCACCATGTGTTCAACCCACCGTGTGTTCCACCCACCGTGTGTTCAACCCACCGTGTGATCAACCCACTGTGGTGGAACACACGGTGGGTTGATAACATGGTGGGTTGAACATACGGTGGGTTGATCACACGGTGGGTTGATCACACGGTGGGTTGATCACACGGTGGGTTGAACACACGGTGGGTTGATTACACGGTGGGTTGAACACACGGTTGGTTGAACACACAGAGGGTTGAACACAGGGTGGGTTGAACACAAGGTGGGTTGATCACACGGTGGGTTGAACACACGGTGCGTTGAACACACGGTGGGTTGAACACACGGTGCGTTGAACACACGGTGGGTTGCACACAAGGTGGGTTGAACACACAGTGGGTTGATCACATGGTGCGTGGAACACACGGTGGGTTGAACACATGGTGGGTTGAACACACGATAGGTTGAACACACGGTGGGTTGATCACACGGTGGGTTGAACATACGGTGGGTTGACCACACGGTGGGTGGAACACACGGTGGGCTGAACACACGGTGGGTTCAACACACGGTGGGTTCAACACACGGTGGGTTCAACACACGGTGGGTGGAACACACGGTGGGTTGAACACATGGTGGGTTGAACATACGGTGGGTTGAACACACGGTGGGTGGAACACACAGTGGGTTGAACACACAGTGGGTTGAACACACGATAGGTTGAACATACAGTGGGTTGAACACACGGTGGGTTGAACACAAGGTGGGTTGAACACACAGTGGGTTGATCACATGGTGGGTGGAACACACGGTGGGTTGAACACATGGTGGGTTGAACACACGATAGGTTGAACATACGGTGGGTTGATCACACGGTGGGTTGAACACACGGTAGGTTTAAGACACGGTGGGTTGAACACACGGTGCATTGAACATTCGGTGGGTGGAACACACCGTGGGTGAACACACGGTGGGTTGATCACACGGTGGGTTGAACACACAATAGGTTGAGCACACGGTGGGTTGAAAACACGGTGCGTTGAACACATGGTGGGTGGAACACACGGTGGGTTGAACACATGGTGGGTTAAACACACGGTGGGTTGATCACACCGTGGGTGGAACACACGGTGGGTTGAACACACGGTGGGTTGATCACACGGTGGGTTGAACACACGGTGGGTGGAACACACGGTGGGTTGAACACATGGTGGGTTGAACATACGGTGGGTTGATCACACGGTGGGTTGATCACACAGTGGGTTGATCACACAGTGGATTGATCACACGGTGGGTTGAACACACGGTGGGTTGAACACACGGTGGGTTGAACACACGGTGGGTTGAACACAAGGTGGGTTGAACACACGGTGCGTTGAACACACGGTGGGTTGAACACACGGTGCGTTGAACACACGGTGGGTTGAACACACGATTGGTTGAACACACGGTGGGTTGAACACACGTTGGGCTCAACACACGGTGGGTTCAAGACACGGTGAGTTCAACACACGGTGGGTGGAACACACGGTGGGTTGAACACATGGTGGGTTGAACATAAAGTGGGTTGAACACACGGTGGGTTGAACATACGTTGGGTTGATCACACGGTGGGTTGATCACACAGTGGATTGATCACACGGTGGGTTGAACACACGGTGGGTTGAACACACGGTGGGTTGAACACACGGTGGGTTGAACACAAGGTTGGTTGAACACACGGTGCGTTGAACACACGGTGTGTTGAACACACGATTGGTTGAACACACGGTGGGTTGAACACACCGTGGGCTCAACACACGGTGGGTTCAACACACGGTGGGTTCAACACACGGTGGGTGGAACGCACGGTGGGTTGAACACATGGTGGGTTGAACATAAGGTGGGTTGAGCACACGGTGGGTTGAACACACGGTGGGTGGAACACACGGTGGGTTGAACAGACGGTGGGTTCAAAACACGGTGGGTTCAACACACGGTGAGTTCAACACATGATGCGTTGAACACACGGTGGGTGGAACACACGGTGGGTTGAACACACAGTGGGTTGAACACCCGATTGGTTGAACACACGGTGGGTTGTACACACGGTGGGTTCAACACACGGTGGGATGAACACACGGTGGGTTCAACACACGGTGGGTGGAACACACGGTGGGTTGAACACATGGTGGGTTGAACATACGGTGGGTTGATCACACGGTGGGTGGAACACACGGTGGGTTGAACACACGGTGGGTTGAACACACGATAGGTTGAGCACACAGTGGGTTGAACACACGGTGCGTTGAACACACGGTGGGTGGAACACACGGTGGGTTGAACTCACGGTGGGTTGATCACACGGTGGATTGAACACACGGTGGGTGGAACACACGGTGGGTTGAACAAACAGTGGGTTGATCACACGGTGGGTTGATCACACGGTGGGTTGATCACACGGTGGGTTGAGCACACGGTGGGTTGAACACACGGTGGGTTGAACACACGGTGGGTTGAACACACGGGTTGAACACACGGTGGGTTGAACACACGGTGCGTTGAACACACGGTGGGTTGAACACACGGTGGGTTGAACACACGATAGGTTGAGCACACGGTGGGTTGAACACACGGTGTGTTGAACACACAGTGGGTGGAACACACGGTGGGTTGAACACATGGTGGGTTGAACACACGGTGGGTTAATCACACCGTGGGTGGAACACACGGTGGGTTGAACACACAGTGGGTTGATCACACGGTGGGTTGAACACACGGTGGGTGAAACACACGGTGGGTTGAACACATGGTGGGTTGAACATACGGTGGGTTGAACACACGGTGGGTTGAACACACGGTGGGTTGAACACACGGTGGGTGGAACACACGGTGGGTTGAACACACGGTGGGTTCAAAGCACGGTGGGTTCAACACACGGTGAGTTCAACACACGATGCGTTGAACACACGGTGGGTGGAACACACGGTGGGTTGAACACACAGTGGGTTGAACACACGATTGGTTGAACACACGGTGGGTTGTACACACGGTGGGTTCAAAACACTGTGGGATGAACACACGGTGGGTTCAACACACGGTGGGTGGAACACACGGTGGGTTGAACACATGGTGGGTTGAACATACGGTGGGTTGATCACACGGTGGGTTGAACATACGGTGGGTTGAACACACGATAGGTTGAGCACACAGTGGGTTGAACACACAGTGCGTTGAACACACGGTGGATGGAACACACGGTGGGTTGAACACACGGTGGGTTGATCACACGGTGGATTGAACACAAGGTGGGTTGAACACATGGTGGGTTGAACATACGGTGGGTTGAACACACGGTGGGTTGAACACACAGTGGGTGGAACACACGCTGGGTTGAACACACGGTGGGTTCAAAACACGGTGGGTTCGACACACGGTGAGTTCAACACACGATGCGTTGAACACACGGTGGGTGGAACACACGGTGGGTTGAACACACAGTTGGTTGAACACACGATTGGTTGAACACACGGTGGGTTGTACACACGGTGGGTTCAACACACGATGGGATTAACACACGGTGGGTTCAACACATGGTGGGTGGAACACACGGTGGGTTGAACACATGGTGGGTTGAACATACGGTGGGTTGATCACACGGTGGGTTGAACACACGGTGGGTTGAACACACGATAGGTTGAGCACACAGTGGGTTGAACACACGGTGCGTTGAACACACGGTGGGTGGAACACACGGTGGGTTGAACACATGGTGGGTTGAACATACAGTGGGTTGATCACACGGTGGGTGGAACACACGGTGAGTTGAACACACGGTGGGTTGAACACACGATAGGTTGAACACATGGTGGGTTGAACACACGGTGGGTTCAACACACGATGGGTGGAATACACGGTCGGTTGAACACACGGTGGGTGGAACACAAGGTGGGTTAAACACACGGTGGGTTGAACACACGATGGGTTGATCACACCATGGGTGGAACACACGGTTGGTTGAACACACGGTGGGTTGATCACACGGTGGGTTGAACAAACAGTGGGTGGAACACACGGTGGGTTGAACACATGGTGGGTTGAACATACGGTGGGTTGATCACACGGTGGGTTGATCACACGGTGGGTTGATCACACGGTGGGTTGAACACACAGTGGGTTGATTACACGGTGGGTTGAACACACGGTTGGTTGAACACACAGAGGGTTGAACACAGGGTGGGTTGAGCACACGGTGGGTTGAACACACGGTGGGTTGAATACACGGTGCGTTGAACACACGGTGGATTGAACACACGGTGCGTTGAACACACGGTGGGTTGCACACAAGGTGGGTTGAACACACAGTGGGTTGATCACATGGTGCGTGGAACACACGGTGGGTTGAACACATGGTGGGTTGAACACACGAAAGGTTGAACACACGGTGGGTTGATCACACGGTGGGTTGAACATACGGTGGGTTGATCACACGGTGGGTGGAACACACGGTGGGTTGAACACACGGTGGGTTCAACACACGGTGGGTTCAACACACGGTGGGTTCAA